CGTCCCACGGTGTCGCGATTGCGGATGATGTCCCCGAGCGAGTATGAAGTGATGACCATGACTTCATGGTCGGTGAAGTAGTGCAGGAGCTTCCGGGTTGCCATCAGCACGGCATATAGAAGTTTCTACACCTAGGGGTACTGGACCTTGGGGTCGGTGAGTACTTCCTCGACGAAGTATACGGGCCGCTGGACCTTAAGTTGGTGTCCTGGCTCCTCCCTTTTGATGACCAGCGCGGCGCTTACCACATGGTTGCTAGCCGTGATGTAGAGGAGAAGGGGTTCTCCCTGTTCGGGAGCGACGAGGATCGGTGCTAACGTCAGGGACGCTTTCAGGCTCTCCAGGGCATGCTGAGTTCCTCAGTCCAGATGAAAGTGTCCGTCTTTTTTAGGAGCTTGTAGAGTGGCATCCCCCGTTCGCCGAGCCGGGAGATGAACCAACTTAGGGCAGCCAAACAGCCAGTGAGCCTTTGTACGACCTTGACGTTGCGTACAGGACCCATGTTGGAGATGGCCGTGATCTTTTCGGGGTTGGCCTCGATGCCACGCTCGGACACAAAGTATCCTAGGAGCTTCCCCTTCGGAACCCCGAAAACACATTTTTCGGGATTCAGCCTGATGTTGAACCTTCGAAGGTTCACGAATGTTGCGGCCAAGTTTGTGATCAAGTCGCAAGCTTGAGTTGTTTTGACCACTATGTCATCAACATAGACGGCGATCGTTGGTCTTGGTCGCTCGGCTTGATCAGGCTGATTGAGCGGGTCGATTTGGTCGGCAAAGCATTGCTGCATGCACCTTTGGTAGGTGGCACCAGCGTTCTTCAAGCCGAATGGCATGGTTACGTAGCAGTACGAACCATACGGGGTGATGAACGAGATTGCGAGCTGATTAGACTCTTTCATCACGATCTGGTGATAGCCCTAATAGGCATCTAGAAAGGAGAGGATCTCGCAACCCGAGGTGGAGACGACAATCTGGTCTATGCGTGGTAGAGGAAAGTGATCCTTTGGGCATGCTTTGTTGAGGCCAGTGTAATCAACTCACATTCACCACTTCCTGGTCTTCTTTTTAACAAGAACGGGATTGGCAAGCCAGTCAGAGTGGAATACCTCCCTGATGAATCCGGCTGCCAGGAGTTTGGCGATCTCTTCGCCTATCGCCCTACGCCTCTCATCGTCGAAGCGACGCAGGCGCTGCTTGGCGGGCTTCGAGCCCGGGATGAGGCGCAATGCATGCTCGGCGACCTCCCGTGGTATGCCCGGCATGTCAGAAGGCTGCCATGCGAAGACATCGCGATTGTCGCGCAGGAAGTCGACGAGCTCGCATTCCTATTTGGCCGGGAGCTGGGTCCCGATCTGAACCATCTTGGTTGGGTCGGTGGGGTCAATTCCCACTGCCTTGGTTTCCTCAAGTGGACGGAAGGCCGTCGAGGAGGTTGGTTTGTTGCAGTGTAGGATTGCCGGAGCCAACGATTCCCCGAGCTACGGGAGCTTGGACGAGTTGACGACCGCAGTGGCGAGCTCGTAGTGCTCGCGGTCGCACATGAAGGCATGTGAAAAGGCACTGCTCATGGTGATTACGCCGTTCGGTCCCGGCATCTTTAGCTTGAGGTAGGTGTAGTTGGGGATTGCCATGAATTTTGCGTAGCATGGCCGCCCCAAGATGGCGTGGTAGGACCCTGGAAAGTCCACCACCTCGAAGGTGAGGACCTCCGAGCAGAAGTTGGCCCGGTTGTCGAACGTGACGGGCAGGTCGATCTGCCCGAGCAGGTATGCCTGCGCTCTCGGGATTACCCCATGGAAGGGAGAGCCCGCCAGGCGGAGCTCCGACCGGGGGATGCGCATGGCGTCAAGGGTGTCGATGTAGAGGATGTTGAGGCCGTTGCCTCCGTCCATCAGCACCTTGGTGAGGCACTTCTTGCGGACGATGGGGTCGACGACGAGCGGGTAGCGTCCCGGTCTCGCTACGTGGGAGGGATGGTCCCTCTAATCGAAGATGATCGGAGATTCCGACCAGCTGAGGAAGGAGGGGATGGCCATCTCTATAGCAAACCTTGTGCTGGCGCTTGGACCAGATGGTGTCGGATCCACCGAAGATCATGATGCATTCATCAGCGTCGGGGAAACCGTCCCCGTCCTTGCCCGTCGTGCCTCCTTTCTTGGTTGCCGCCTCTTTGCCGTCCCCTTCTTTCGGCCCGCCGGCCTATCGTAGGAAACGTTTGAGGAGCTCACACTCCTTGTAGAGGTGTTTGACGGGGTAGGCGTGGTTGGTGCATGAGTTTTTTGAAGTGGTCAGGCAGTCCCTATTGGGGCTGCTTGGCCGTGCGATCAGCTGCGGAGACCAACGCAGTGCTGTCCGACCGGTGCCGATCTTTTTTGTTTTTCTTGCCCCTCTGTGTGGAGGGGCCCTCATCTTGGTCCGTGCGCTTGGCCTTGCCTTTGTCCCGTCCCTCGTTGAAGACCGCTCTGACCGCCTCCTCGCCGGAGGGGTGGTTAGTGGCGATGTCGAGCAGGTCGCGGGTGGTACGGGGCTTCAGGCATCCAAGCTTGTGGATCAGGGACTCGCAGGTCATCTTGGAGAGGAATGCGCTGATGACGTCCGCATCGACAATATCAGGGAGGGAGTTGCATCGTTGGGAGAACCTACGGATGTAATCCCATAGGGACTCACTGGGCTCCTGCTGGCAGCTCTTGAGGTCCCAGGAGTTTCCTAGGCGGACATACGTCCCCTGGAAATTCCTGACGAAGACCCTCTTGAGGTCCACCCAGTCGCGGATGTTGTCGTGTGGAAGGAATTCAAGCCATGCCCGAACATGTTCCCCCATGCAGATAGGGAGATACTGAATGATGAAAAAGTCATCATCCACCCCTCCCGCTCGGTAGGCGAGCTGAAAATCTTCGAGCCAAATACCGGGGTTTGTCTCCCCAGTGTACTTGGTAATGTTGGTGGGTGGTCAAAAGCATTGTGGGAACGGCTCTCTCCAAATATGCCGGTCAAAGGCTCCGGTCGGCCGGCCGGCGACCGTGTCTGGGGCGTGTTTCACCGCTCCCCTCAATGGTTCGACCGGGATTGGCGTCGCCTGCTCTCGCCGCCGCCTGGTGGACGTCATCAACGTGCCGGGCCCGATGCCGGTTGCTGATGACGCGAGTGTCCTGGTGCAGACTGGACCGCTCATGTATTGGCGGTCGGTGTGGAGCAGGCGCCCGGTTGAACCGAGGCGCGGCTGTAGCGGTGAGCAGATGGAGCAATCCGTCTGGCGCGTCCCCGTTCCCCCGGTGGGGAGAGAGGGCGCGTCCCCATTCACCTCTTCTTCTCCCTCACCCTCCCCATATTTCCATTGATGCACCAGCTGTAGGGGGGCTAGAGCCCCCCCCCCCCCCTTAGATCTGCCCCTGTTTGTGAGATGAACCAAATGAATAAATATCTTGGAATATGTCGGTGCAGAAAGTGACCAACAAGTAAATATTTGTAGTTTTGCCGTACATTGTGATCGGAGGTGGCCTAGCTCTCAATGACACAGGGTTTATACTTGTTCAGTCAACGTGCCCTACGTCCAGTTTGAGTCGATCGGTGACTTTATTCCTGAGCCCAGGTGCTCGAAGTTTGCAGTGGGGTTACAAACGAGAAAGAGAAAGATGGGGGGTACAAGAGGTCCGGTCGGAAGGGCCGAGAGCGACAGGAGCTCCGCTATGAGCTAAGTGTTCAAGCGTGTGCTTGAGGTCTGAACCTGGCGGTCCTGTGGTTGTGAACTAGTGAACTTGATCGATCTAGTGAAAATGGAATGACTTTGATCAACTTGGATCAACTGAGTTTCTTGGGAGAGAGCGCATCCCCTTTTATAGATGAAGGGGGGGGCTTTACAAGTGAGAGGGACAGAGTATGTACGCTTCTAAACCTTGTTGCCAACGTCGGTAGATACAGGATGATGGTTGGCGCCCACAACACTGTTGGATGTCGGAAGCACGTGGACGGTTACATCGTCTTGAGGGGTTTCTCCATGTTCATTCGGTACGGTAAATCCCAGCGCCCACAACACTGTCGATGTCCAGAGGCATGTGGGGTGAGCCTTACCATATGGGAGTTTAATTGCGCCTACAATACTGTAGGGGAAACTGTAGGCGCCTACAACATTGTTTGTGTCAGGGTGGTTGCTGTTCCTGCAGGTGTACAGGGTATGGTCCCTGGTATCGTGGTTTGACTTGTGCGCCTTGCCCTGCTTTTTTTGTCCGTTGCCTGATCCTTCCCGAGCGGGCGTCCCCGGTCGGTTAGTCTCAGTCGGCTCTGGCTGCGCTAGTCGCAGAAGAGCAGTGAGCAGGGTTTTTGCATACCCCGGTCGGAGACGTGGGGTCGAAGTCGGAAGTGGTGCTTTGCCCAGTCCTTCCGGTCGGAGAGGCCGTCCGGAGGCGACTAGAGACCGAAATGAGCGCTCTGGTCGGAGAGGTGGGCCGGAGTCGAAAAGCGGGCGCTGCTTCTCCTCGGCCAAACCTTCCGGTCGGTTGATTGGATCGTCCTTCTGGCCTGCTGTTTAGATACTTGGGTCAGGTCATGAATTGTGTATTGTCTGCTTGGGTCGAGCCTTTGGGGAAGCCGGTCCGCGATGGACCCCGAGTTTTTATTCACATTTTATGGGCCTGGCCCAACCCACGTACGCATTGGAACGCTCAATTGGACTGTGCCCATCCGACTGTGTTAAAGCCCACCCTTGGTCTATCCTCCCCGCTAGTCCTTGGACCTGCGCCGGCGCCCGGCGGCCGCCTCCACAGCACCCTCGCGCTCTATCACTCCGGTCGTGTAGCTCCCCCACCAGGCCACCACCGTTGCGCGCCCACCGCAGCTACATTCGCCGACCCCTTCTTCAAGGGCTCTGCCCACTCTTTCAACCCAGAAGGTCACTATTACCCTGCGCATGCCCCCTCTCCCCCTTCCGGCGTGGCACGCACGTTAGGAGTTCGACCGATTGTCGGAACGTCTTCCGCCGCCTTCTGTGCCATCGAAAGAGCGATGAGGTTTGTCGTGACGAAAGTTTGCAGCGGCGGGGGGAAGGCGCGGGCGGGTGCGCTCCATATTGGCGGCGGCGGCATTGGCATTGAGACGCCGGCGCTGCTGCTGTCGACTCGTAAGGGGCTGCCGGCATTCTTGTCCTGCGACCTCCTTGTCTCCTTGCCACTCCCGGACTCCCTCCTCCTCCATGTCTGCCCTACCCACTTGTAAGTCAGACCCAATCCCCCTCCACCTGTTTCGGTTCCCCTCCAGTCTGAGAGTATATGCTGTTGGAACTAGCCCCTGTTGGTCATGTTCTTGTGGGTTATTGCCGTTTAACTGAACATAGAGGGCCCTCCAGTGAAGACAATATCAGCTATTAGGGGTTTGCGCGGTATGCTGGGTTTACCTGATCACATTCTTGTAGCGGCAGCAAGTGATTCTATTGAGAGTCTGCCATCAAGTGACGCCACCAACAAATTTGGTGCCTCCTTTGAAACTCCTTCGGGACGTAGACTGGTTGGTAACTTAGTCCTTTCATTTTCAGCTTTCAAGGGTGCATGTTTGGTGTACATATATAGATTTATTTTTTGTTAAATTCTTTCAGGTAAAACCATCAGACTATATGGAGTTGATTTCCTGCATGAAGCCCAATATATGGGCCAGTTTGGCGGACGAGGTACCAGCTTGGGTGAATGAGAAACGAAACAAAGTTTCTGTTGAGAGGACATTGCGGTGGCTTGATGCATGTATTGCTTTGGATGTGGTAGGATGTTAAACTATTTTCGTCGAGCTGTGTTTCATGACTTTAATGTATACATCTTTCTTTACTTTTTAAAGAGTTATCACTATTTAAATGTCTGAAATAGAGCAAAAAATAATGACTAAGTGACATTTCTGATTTATTATCAAGTGGTACTTGGCTACAAGTTTGGAGGCCTCTGGTGCAAGCTTCTTAAAGCTGTGTTTTTTTTTCACAAATGGAATCAACCTCAGTCAACTACCTTCTCTTATTGATCTTTTTTACAACTCTTCAGGCTTCTGGAACTAATAGTTTTGGTGTAATTGTGGGAGGATCTAGCTTAGAACAGCGAAAGCTATGTGCTACTGAAGTATCGAAGCGGAATGTTTCAGGTTATTTTTATATTTCATTCAATATTAGTAATTTTCAGTAGTTTTATTTCGTAAGTACCTATCTCCAGGGAAGAGGATGGCACCTTTGATTTATTTTTCTTAACTTTGCACTTAGCTGTTTAGGAATTGACTTGATGATGGCGTTTTAATTAATTTGGAAAAAATTACTGATCCTTTTGTTGCCAAATTTGGTGCAGACTTTTGGATTGCAGGCTTTGGCCTTGGAGAGAGTATTGAAGAACGTTGCAGTTTACTCAATGCCGTAACAGTGAGAGAAAAAAAATCCTTTTTATATCAAATATCGAAGTGTATTGATGATGATCTGCTGGGCTATGCTTAAAATTCTGTTGCCGCATTTTGTTAGGGCTGCGTTTACGTTAAAATCATGTGCCAAATATGAACCTGTCAAAATGAGACAATTTTATGAAATACCACTTGGGCAGATTAGCAATTCATTATTTGTCATCCTGGTGAAGTATCTGTGACACATGCGATCCCACATGTTAGTGAGATGGTGGCATGCCAGTCTTAAGGGTGGCAAATTGTCAAATGCTTTCAAGTTGTAATTCTAAATGTGACCACACTCGGGTACTAGAAAATGTTGATTGTCCACCCTGGAATAGAAGATTTCAACTGTAAATGGCATTTCATATTAAAGTATCATATTCAGAATGTTTTATAGATTTTGATTTTTGATGTAGCATTGAATGGTCATATTCTGCATTTGTAATATTTGCTTGAAACAAGAATTTGCATGGTTTCAGATTACCATACAGCCCCCCCCCCCCCCACCCCTTCCCTGTGTAGCCTTCGATCGTGATTAAGCTGAAGCCACAGTTCATGCTTTTTTAGATGTTGTGTTTTGATGTGTTTAGAAGTGTTCTTTCTTTTTGCTCACATGTAACTGATCATTTGCTTTTCTTTCTTTCAGGATTGCTTGCCACCGGAAAAACCTCGGCTCGTGTCTAGGCTTGGTCTTCCAGGTCCCTGTGATGTATTTTTCCCAGTAGCTTTGGATTTTGTTATGTAGTTTCCACAGGGCAATGACTTAGGAAGATTTGCTTTCTTTTCTTTCATCTCATCTCTGACTTCTTACACTTTAATCTCATCATCATAATTCACAAGCTAGAGCCTAGCTGTTAAACTTATCCAAAATTTTGCCTATCACTTGTCTGTAGTAGTATTTTGCATTGGATGGTGAGTAATTAATGGTAGTTTATAAATACATTGGATAGTATTTCTTGCTTTTCCATGTGAGAAGCTTTACATACCTTTTTGACAATTCTTTGAAACTTACATCCTGAGATATATTTGTATTAAAAAACGATTTTTACAACTATCTCACATTGACAACTCAGTACATTCTGTCTTCTAGAGGAGGTCTTGGAGGGTGTAGCTGCTGGTATCGACCTTTTTGACTCCACGTATGCACATAAATCTTTGCCCTGTAGCATTTGTGATGAGCAAATTCCATCAATGCCATTAGAAATTATATCGGTTCCCTGAGTGAAATCAAAATTGTGCGCTTCCCTTGTGTGCCACTATTTGAAATTTGTGTTTCCCTATCTGCCACTTCTGTCATTGAACTGTTAAGTTGCTGTTATGTTGATATGGAAATGATGATTTTGCCCCTCTGAACAGAATTTTGGCTCCTTTCCTTACATGCGATTACACAGGTCAATGATGTTGACCTGTTGAGAAAATTAAATCAAGGAGCACACCCAACCAGCAATATAACATATATTGCACAACCAACTAACATATATGTGTATGAGCTGTATATGTATAACATATGTAAAAAGTTACATTGAGTATTTCTATGACTTGATACAAATGAGAGTACATAGAATTAATGTGATTTGATTACCATTAGTGTTGCCCTTTCACTTTCAGTCTTCAACAAAGACCAAAAAACTTGATTCATAATATCATTTTAAAATGTTTTAAAACGAATCCTTGCACATACTTGGAAGCCCCTATCCAATAACAGGCATGAGGAGACAGAGATCACCATTCATCAGCATGCAGTCTAGCAGATGCTGGTGGAGTTTGTGGTCACACGGACGGACGGGTGAGAGAATTGCCAGTTGATGAAACAGAGGCAGATATACGGACGACCAGATAACGCATTGATGAGGAGGACACGAGAATGGACCTCCGGTGCCGCTGTGAGCTCAGGGAAGGTGGGCGGAGCAGTGGTGGCCTGAAACCAGCTGATGGCCCGATTCCAGCCGATGATCGGCCATGCAGTGGCCCTCTGGCGGCGGACGAGGCCTCCTGTGTCCAAGTGGAGCTGCGCATGCGGGGAGCTTGCCCACGTCCAGAGTGGGTGCCCACGTCATGGCCTTGGGTTAGGTTGAACTGTGGCGCTCACCTACGCTAGCTCATGGGCTGTGCTCAACAGCCACGCATGCCTAGGCTCGTGCACGTCCTCCACCAGGCACGCGTGCACGCGCGTGGCCTGCCCACGTCCACCGCTAGGCGCACAATTGCCCAAGCACGGCAATGACCTCCCACCGCTGCTGATCCGCCGAAGTTGGATCCTGGTGGTGCTGATTCCGCCAAGAATGGGGACGATTTGGATGGTGGTGGACAGGTGGAGTTGGAATTGGGTGGATAAGTCAGAGAGGAGGACAGCTGTGGGTCTCACTTGTCATAAGAGAGGCATTTTCTGCACTAGAAATAGACGGAATAGCTCTACAGGTAATGGGGCCATCATGTCAGTGACATGTACTTAACAGAATTTGGTGGAAATGGCAACCAAGGAAACACAAATTTCAAATAGTGGCAGTGAAGGAATGTGAACAATTTTGATGGTATACAGGCAATCCATATAATCTCTAATGGCATTGAGGGAATTCACTCTTGATTCATCAATGTGCTGAAAGAATTTGATTTTTCATAATTTGGAATGACAGGTACATTTACCAACTTACTATGGGTGGTTTCGCACTGGTCTTCCCTGTTGACATGGTTGAAAGAGAGATGCAGAATGGTATACTCAACACTAGTGGTGGAGATTCAACAAAGATTAATCTGCGTGCTACAACATATCGGTTGGTGATATGATTTATGGAAATATTGTCATTGTGACAAAGTCTGTGCATTGTATTTGAGAAGACATGTGAATGGTTCTATGTTTGTGTACTGATGATTTTAAAAGAAGTTACAACTAAATTTCTCAGTTGTATATCGGGCATGTGAATTTTTGTTGGTAACAGTTTGGAAGTATTTTAGTTTGGAGTAGACAAATGCCCCATTTGAGCGTTTTGATCAACGAGTGTCTTTAGTTCTCTCTGCAGATGCCTATCGGCTGCATTTAAGCTTGTGGGCAAATACATAATCTATTAACCTATGAGAGATACCTAATGCACACAGAAAATAGCTATTGAATCTCCACCATGATGGCTGTTTTTTTTTTATTCACACACCACGATGGCTGCTACTGGTGTTCGTTTTTATAATGGAGAAAGATTGCACATCATATTGTTTATGATGCCTTTTCAAGTTTCATTTCAGTATATTGCCACTAAAAGTTGAATATAAATTGGAGTGTGCTGGGGAAGTGTAATAAGTGGTAAATGCAACATGATGAAGTGTGATAATTAGAAGGATGTAGGATTTGTTAAATCCAAATATTGAATCCATTGACTATTAGTTATGGTTAAAATGGAGGTTTATCACTATACCAATTGAAACTGTTGTTTCCCTGAAGACACTCCATATTGAAGAAATATTTACATAAAATGTTGGATATGTTGATTTTCTGTTATGTGACTCATGATTTTTGGGTGTGTTTGTTCCTTCAGGAAGGATACGTCACGGCTAGTTGATAGCTGTAACTGCTTCACGTGCCAGAATCACACCCGTGCTTACCTCAATCATTTGCTCAATGTCCACGAGATGTTGGCTCAGATTTTACTGGAGATGTAAGCAAAGTCGGATTCCCAATTATGGTTCAGTAGGGAATATACTGTGATATGAACCCGCTAGGGTGAATCCCAATCTTTCGATGAGAGAAGGTGGATAACTCGATTTGGGGATGGATATGACGTTCACGGCCCGACTACAGCCTTCCAAGCTGCGCCTTAGCAACCGATACACCACCTCCAATGGCCGTCGCGATCTTGTGGAGCACGATCAACCAAACCACTAGGGTAATTCCTGCAAGCAATCGAGGAACAAGCAAGAACAAGTAGAACAAGCAACTCAATTGCAAATATGGAGATGAAAAACCAATCTGAACTCATAAAGTTGGGGTTCTGAATCAAGTAGAACGGATGGTCTAGTCGACACACGCGTCTACAAGGAAGTAGCAATGGCTAAACTTTCAACAAACAAAACCCAATCTGTTTGTGGCGGCTCTAATCCTTATTAATACATAGGGGAACGACCAGGGGGGTGTTGGGGTCGTTCTCCAACCCTAGGACGCGTCCCTAATGGACCCAACTTGATACATGGGTCATCGGCCCAAAATAGGGTGACGCAGCACCAAAGGCAGAAAAGGTCCTGGCGTTGAAACAACTACTGCAGAAGCATCGGATAAGATATGGCCATGAGTCCAGATCCGTTGGAAAATAGACTTGATAAGCTTTCCAAAAAGTGCTAGAACGTCCCAATCGGAGTCCGTATGAAGTCGTGGCGACCGTCGCAATTTGGGACTATTTTGCAGTCCGAATTCAACTTCCAAAACGTGTTGTACTTGGACTCTTTCTGTCCTTGGAACCAAAGCAACGTGGTGGCCTAGTGGAGGACGTTAGGAATACTTGGATTTGGTCCCCAATCAACTTCATTAACCTTCCATGCTTTCCATATGCAATCAAACCTTCCCTTTATCCATGTAAGTAATTCTGAAAATGAGAATGAACACACATCATGGTGCAGCATCAATTCATCAAATGTATCAAATACAATCATGATAAAGAATTGTTTCACCTGTGAATCAAAAGTTGCCAATGTGGTTATATCCGAGCAGGTGATGTCCTCATCATATTGAGTGGATGATGTTTATCTTTTCTGTTTATCCTGCAGACATAATACACATCACTATCTTCGTTTCTTCCATTCCATACGGGAGGCAATCAAGGTTGGAGAGTTCGATCTTTTTTCGTCAGGAGTTTGTTAAGAAGAGACGCGCCCATTTAACTGCTGTTGCGATCTAGATGTGACCAAGGGTTCATCTGGCCGTCCTCACAAGATTAGCCGATCAGTTAATCAGACTTGTGTACACCTGAATCCTTACTAGTCAACTCTCACGTCTATGGTTGATTCTCTAGGAAACTTTCACCTAATGAACTCTAAAACATTTGGGGCTTTCAAATTATCCCCTTCCGATACATGTGAATTGGAATGAAAAATGAAGTAGTTTCCCTAACGACCTCTCCCAATATGTATGGATTGGAGGGGATGATCCACTAACAAAGGCTTGATATTGGTCCTGTTCGCTTCGCTGAAAAGCCATGGCTTAAAGTACTGTTCGTTGATTTGTTGTGAGAAAAACACTGTTCCTTCGCTAAAACAGTATGGCTCATAAGACAAGCGAATAGGGCCATTTCCCAAAAAGTCCCAAATATCTTAAGAATTAGTAACAGTTTGAGGATCTCAGTAGCTGAGGTGTTTGATAACTTTGGAGTCCCTGACTTTTGTTAGAAGGAATAAATATGGGCGGTGGTAGAACAACAGGAGTTGGAAGAGGTGATTGAAAAGTTAAACACACTGGAGTTTTGTGACGATCAAAATACAGTGGTGTGGAAATTGGAATCCTCTGGTAAATTCTCAGCCAGATCTCTGTACAGATTTTGTCATGACGGGCAAGGTGTTCCAGCGCAGGCACCGTGGCTGAGTCGGGCAAGGGCCAGTGCGCGGTTACCAGGGCACAGCCGAGCTGCTGCCAATCAGTTATCAGAGTCCTAGAGTTTAGGAAAGATATTTGATTTGAGTTGTTATTGAGTTTGTTAGGATTGGGTTGTATAAGTACTGCAAATCTTTAATGGAAGAAATTAGCCAGGGTTGAGATTTAATCTCAATTTGCTCCCTGGCGACTCCTCTCGTGACCTGCTATTCCCCGTCCAAAACCCATCTGTCGACGACGGCTCCGCCTGTTCGTCGCCGGTCCTTCAAGCCCCGACCTCCCACCTCGCATTCTTACACTCTCTGTGTCCATGGCAAGAGTGTTATTTTGACCGTGGTTGATCGCTTCTCGAAGCAGGCTCATTTCTTGGCTCTCAGTCACCCGTACACAGCAGCCTCGGTGGCTAAGGCCTTTTTCGAGGGCATTGTTCGTCTGCATGGATTTCCATCTTCAATTGTCAATGATCGTGATCCGGTATTCACTGGGAATGTGTGGCGTGATCTGTTCAAGTTAGCAGGGGTCAAATTGCGGATGAGCACCGCCTTCCATCCACAAACCGATGGGCAATCCGAAGTTGTCAACAGCACTATTGCGATGTATCTTCGCTGCTTCAGTGGTGATCGCCCTCGTTCATGGCTGGATTGGCTTCCTTGGGCGGAATTTTGTTACAACACTTCCTACCATACTTCGCTGGGGACGACACCATTTCAGGTCGTGTATGGCAGACCTCCACCGGCACTGCTGCCATATACAGCAGGGACTGCACGCACGGAGATTGTGGACGGCCACTTGCACGACCGCGACGAGTTCCTGGCAGAGGTGCGCGACCGTCTGTTGTAGGCCCAGGAGTATGCCAAGAAACATTATGATGCACATCACTGTCCGCTGGAGTTTCAGGTCGACGATTGGGTGCTGCTCCGCATCCTTCATCGGCCAGCACAGTCGCTCATCCCGGGTTTCCGCGGCAAGCTCAGTCCGCGTTTTGCTGGACCCTTTCAGCTGGTGGAGCGCGTGGGTGCAGCAGCTTATCGCCTCCGGCTGCCCGAAGGCGCCCGCATCCATGATGTATTCCATGTGGGCGTCTTGAAGCCATTTCGGGGTCCTTCTCCGACAGCGACACCTACTCTGCCACCTATGCACAATGGCCGAGTTCTTCACCAACCTGCTCGGGCGCTCCGTGGTCAGCTTCGTCGCGGTGTCTAGCACGTGCTTATCCAGTGGGAAGGGCTGCCTGAAGACGACGCAACTTGGGAGGCCGTCGACGACTTCTGCGCTCGCTTTCCCTCGTTTCAGCTTGAGGACGAGCTGTTTCCCAAGGAGGGAACAGATGTCATGACGGGCAAGGTGTACCAGCGCAGGCACCGTGGCTGAGTCGGGCAAGGGCCAGTGCGCGGTTACCAAGGCGCAGCCGAGCTGCTGCCAATCAGTTATCAGAGTCCTAGAGTTTAGGAAAGATATTTGGTTTGAGTTGTTATTGAGTTTGTTAGGATTGGGTTGTATAAGTACTGCAAATCTTTAATGGAAGAGATTAGCCAGGGTTGAGATTTAATCTCCCTTTGCTCCCTGGCGACTCCTCTCGTGACCTGCTATTCCCCGTCCAAAACCCATCTGTCGACGACGGCTCCGCCTGTTCGTCGCCGGTCCTTCAAGCTCCGACCTCCCACCTCGCATTCTTATGCTGTCCGGTCCCTGGTCCGTAACAGATTTATCTCATTAGGTGGAGTGGTAAATCTTGGTTTGAAGGATATTTAGCAGACTAAGTTTCCCTTGAAAATTCAAATCTTCATTCATGTGGATGATTGCTCATGGCAGATTAGAAACAGCGGATCTGCTTAGGAGAAGGAATTGGGATGGTCCAAAGGAGTCTAAGCTCTGGTGAATTAGAAACGGTGGATCACCTGCTGTTCAAACGCCCCCTTGCTATGGTGATCTGGTGCTGGATTAGGGACAGTTTGGGGTGGTCCTCCATTCCTGTTGATAGAAACAACCGAATCGAAATTCATGCCGCGGCTGGACACAAAGGTAATTGGTGGAGGGTGATGGTGTTTGCAGGGGTAGGGTGCACCATCTGGAAGACTAGAAATGATTAAGGCTCTGTTCGCTTATCTTATGAGCTGTTCTTTTTCAGCGAACGAACATTATTTTTCTCTCACAACAAATCAAAGAACAGTACTTTCAGCTATGGATTTTCAGCGAAGCGAACAGGGCCAGTTTTCTCCAATATCTTAGCAAAACCCCCCACAAATCGGTGGCTTACAAGTAGTAGTACGATTTTCTTCAGTATTGGAAGGCGACGGTGAAGCTGGACTAGAACTGTAGAAGGAAAGCGTGAAGTCTGGACAGGTTACTGGACAACCCGAGGGCGGCTTCGTGTTTGGCGAATGTGTAACATGGCTAGCCTGCTATCGTGTTTTGTCTTCGTACTTTCCTTTTTAATATACGCAGTAGTCGTCCTGAAATTAGAGTTTAATATGGCTTAGAGACTGTTTGATAGGCGGAGTGGGTATTTTACTCTGTTGCTGGTGGCTGTATGCCATTTGCGTTCTGTAAACTGGTAATCCAGTCCCAGTGTAAAACCTGTTTAGGGCCATTTGGTTGTTCAAGAATGCATCAGGAATTGTTCCAACTGCTCAAAGCTTATATAAATTAAACTAGCAATCTAGGTTGGAATCATTTCAGGGAATGATTTGCTATTAACCAAACGAATCATTCTTGGGAATGATTTGCTACTAACCGAACCAGCCCTTAAGCTTTCAATAGAAGGGGACCCAATGTCTTTGGTCTATATTTCCTAAAATGGTGTTGCAAAGTTTCATTTGGCTTGTTTGGCCGCATTTTCTCAGGTTCACACTGCTGCGGGAAGCTTTTCTGATGAACGCGAATGCAACATCGATTGACAATTACAAATCCAATACTACCTTAAAGGAAGAATCAGATTAGTTGTTTAATACATTCCGCATGGCATTACACTCCCTCCATCCTTGCAAAATAAAAAAACTGAGTTCTCCTAAGACAATTTTTCTGAAGTTTAACCAAGTTCATAGAAAAGCCAGGAATAATTTCGATATTAAATTAGCATCATTAGAGACGTTATGAAACATATTTTTATGATACCTCTTTGATGTGGTAGATATTAATACTCTTATATCTAGATTTGATTAAATTTAGAATAGTTTAACTTGGAATAAACGCAAGGATGGCGTATTGATTAGGTAAAGGACATCACCTTTCACTTAGGATGGTTGCAGAATAATAAATATTGTAAATCGAAGTTCGGTATTACCTGTACCACGTAGGCAGTCACATGCTACTACTTCTAGACTAGAGAGGAAACGTGACTTGCTGTTTGTCAATGAGTGGGAATATAGTTGAATATTACCATATTGGCATAGTCACATGCTTCTAGAGAGGAGACGCGACTTGCTAGCTGTTTCAATCAGTGGGTTGTGTCACAGTCAAGAAAGAATGGTATCTTTTTTGTTTTGGACCATAAATACCATCGCAATCGCCTTAGACTCTCGAGGGCATGGGACGTAGGAATTTCGATGCTCACAAAAAATTTATAGAAATCAGTTTAATTTAACAGAAAAAAATGCAGGAATATGAATTTTCCCCGCAATCAAATACAACCCGGAAGGAAAAAACTCTTGCACACGTCAACACGGAAGGTGGTTAGGGGGACACCTCAGCTGACGACGCTAACACGTATGGGCACTGCACCATGGGTTTTCTCTTATTATACGTACCAGGTGGCGCAGGAAGAACCACAACGGTAATTTATTAAGGGCAGCTCCAATGTTTATGTTCTTAGCAAGAATGTGACCTATCACGTGGTGCTCTATACTATAGCAAATAAAAGTTTCATTGTATAAACTTGAAAGCACATTCATATTAAAATAGGCTCCCTACGTAATGAAAATATTCATCTTCCATGGTTTCTCTAACAAGATGTTCATGTTTATGTCCTTTAGTTATTTTTTTATTCTTTGTACATGGTGCTCAAATAAGCAACAGAATACAATAGTACCCTCCATTGCATTGCATCTCTCATGTTCCTTTCTCTCTTCTTTACACCTCCTTAATACAAACGATATTGGAGCTCTCTTAATGAGAAGGAATTACAATGAATTTCCATTTATCTAAATATACATCGTGGCTTTTGTGGAACTCTGATGGAACATGTAAAATAGTTGGTCCTTGTGTTGTTTTCTCAAGTCATACTTCCTCTATTCTAAATTGTAAGTTGTTTTAGATTTCTAGATACATAAATTTTA